GTGCCAGTACTCACATAGTGCCAGTACTCACATAGTGCCAGTACTCACATAGTGCCAGTACTCGCATAGTGCCAGTACTCGCATAGTGCCAGTACTCGCATAGTGCCAGTACTCGCATAGTGCCAGTACTCACATAGTGCCAGTACTCACATAGTGCCAGTACTCACATAGTGCCAGTACTCACATAGTGTCAGTACTCACATAGTGTCAGTACTCACATAGTGTCAGTACTCACATAGTGCCAGTACTCACATAGTGCCAGTACTCGCATAGTGCCAGTACTCGCATAGTGCCAGTACTCGCATAGTGCCAGTACTCACATAGTGCCAGTACTCGCATAGTGCCAGTACTCACATAGTGCCAGTACTCACATAGTGCCAGTACTCACATAGTGCCAGTACTCATAGTGCCAGTACTCGCATAGTGCCAGTACTCGCATAGTGCCAGTACTCACATAGTGCCAGTACTCACAGTGCCAGTACTCACATAGTGCCAGTACTCACATAGTGCCAGTACTCACAGTGCCAGTACTCACATAGTGCCAGTACTCACAGTGCCAGTACTCACAGTGCCAGTACTCACACAGTGCCAGTACTCACCCTGTTCTTGCACTATTCCTTTGATAAGTCCAGAAAAAACTTCAGCTAGAACCCGACCTTAAGTATTCCTAGGCCTAGTGTAGTACATATATGTACTATACTAGGCCTCGGATAACGTGTATTAGGCCTAGAATTCCTGTAAGAGGTTAGGTCTTACCGAGGACATGATAAGGTTTCTGGTTTCTCCAGATTGAATAATACAACAGTTAACTTTCTGGTGGTCCATCACTACATATATCTATGTGGTGTATTATGTGGACTATTATGTGGTCTACTATGTGGTCCATTATGTGGTCTATTAAGTGGTCTATTAAGTGGTCTATTATGTGGTCTATTATGTGGTCCATTATGTGGTCCATTATGTGGTCTATTAAGTGGTCTATTAAGTGGTCTATTATGTGGTCTATTATGTGGTCTATTATGTGGTCTATTAAGTGGTCTATTAAGTGGTCTATTAAGTGGTCTATTATGTGGTCCATTATGTGGTCTATTAAGTGGTCTATTAAGTGGTCTATTAAGTGGTCTATTATGTGGTCCATTATGTGGTCTATTAAGTGGTCTATTATGTGGTCCATTATGTGGTCTATTAAGTGGTCTATTATGTGGTCCATTATGTGGTCCATTATGTGGTCCATTATGTGGTCTATTAAGTGGTCTATTAAGTGGTCTATTATGTGGTCTATTATGTGGTCTATGTGGTATGTGGTCAGGAAGTACCAACAAGTACTTTCCTTTTAGGAGGAAGGGCTGCGCTGCCCCAGTACCGTGATGGGGGGGAGGGGGTGAGTGGGGTTGAAGGGGGAGGGGGGTGAGTGGGTTGAAGGGGGAAGGGTGTGAGTGGGGTTGAAGGGGAGGAGGTGAGAGGGGTTGAAGGGGAGGGGGTGAGAGGGGTTGAAGGGGAGGGGGTGAGAGGGGGGTATGAGAGGGGTGAGAGGGGGGTATGAGAGGCGTGAGAGGGGGGGTATAAGAGGGGTGAGAGGGGGGGTATGAGAGGGGTGAGAGGGGGTATGAGAGGGGTGAGAGGGGGGGTATGAGGGGGGGTTGAAGGGGGGTGAGAGGGGGGTATGAGAGGGGTGAGAGGGGGGGGTATGTGGGGGGGGTTGAAGGGGGGTGAGAGGGGGGGTATGAGGGGGGTTGAAGGGGGGTGGGTGAGGGGGTAAGGGGGGGGTCAGACCTGCAAAGCCTCTCTCGAAAATCAATATTGAGGACATGGTCCTGTGGAATCCTAACCCCCGCCCCCCCCCCCCCACACCTCACTGACCAAGTGGATGACTGGCATGATGGGTATTAATAGGCCATTAAAGGCCTATGTTCTTGCTTTTACTGTCTCTGTGTTGGTTCCGGGTCTTGAGGTGTTCGGGGGTCTTGAGGTGTTCGGGGGGGTCTTGAGGTGTTCGGGGGGTCTTGAGGTGTTCGGGGGGGTCTTGAGGTGTTCGGGGGGGTCTTGAGGTGTTCGGGGGGGTCTTGAGGTGTTCGGGGGGTTTGAGGTGTTCGGGGGGTCTTGAGGGTGTTCGGGGGGTCTTGAGGGTGTTCGGGGGGTCTTGAGGGTGTTCGGGGGGTCTTGAGGTGTTCGGGGGTCTTGAGGTGTTCGGGGGGTCTTGAGGTGTTCGGGGGGTCTTGAGGTGTTCGGGGGGTCTTGAGGTGTTCGGGGGGTCTTGAGGTGTTCGGGGGTCTTGAGGCGTTCGGGGGGGGGGGTCTTGAGGCGTTCGGGGGGGGGTCTTGAGGTGTTCGGGGGGGTCTTGAGGTGTTCGGGGGGTCCTTGAGGTGTTCGGGGGTCCTTGAGGTGTTCGGGGGTCCTTGAGGTGTTCGGGGGGTCCTTGAGGTGTTCGGGGGGTCCTTGAGGTGTTCGGGGGTCCTAGTGGTGTTCGGGGGGTCTTGAGGTGTTCGGGGGGTCCTTGAGGTGTTCGGGGGTCCTTGAGGTGTTCGGGGGTCCTTGAGGTGTTCGGGGTCCTTGAGGTGTTCGGGGGTCCTTGAGGTGTTCGGGGGTCCTTGAGGTGTTCGGGGGTCCTTGAGGTGTTCGGGGGTCCTTGAGGTGTTCGGGGGTCCTTGAGGTGTTCGGGGGTCCTTGAGGTGTTCGGGGGTCTTGAGGTGTTCGGGGGGTCTTGAGGTGTTCGGGGGGTCTTGAGGTGTTCGGGGGTCTTGAGGTGTTCGGGGGGTCTTGAGGTGTTCGGGGGGTCTTGAGGTGTTCGGGGGGTCTTGAGGTGTTCGGGGGGTCTTGAGGTGTTCGGGGGTCTTGAGGCGTTCGGGGGGGGGGGGTCTTGAGGCGTTCGGGGGGGGTCTTGAGGTGTTCGGGGGGGTCTTGAGGTGTTCGGGGGGGTCCTTGAGGTGTTCGGGGGGTCCTTGAGGTGTTCGGGGGTCCTTGAGGTGTTCGGGGGTCCTTGAGGTGTTCGGGGGGTCCTTGAGGTGTTCGGGGGGTCTTGAGGTGTTCGGGGGTCCTAGTGGTGTTCGGGGGTCCTTGAGGTGTTCGGGGGTCCTTGAGGTGTTCGGGGGTCCTTGAGGTGTTCGGGGGTCCTTGAGGTGTTCGGGGGTCCTTGAGGTGTTCGGGGGTCCTTGAGGTGTTCGGGGGTCCTTGAGGTGTTCGGGGGTCCTTGAGGTGTTCGGGGGTCCTTGAGGTGTTCGGGGGTCCTTGAGGTGTTCGGGGGTCCTTGAGGTGTTCGGGGGTCCTTGAGGTGTTCGGGGGTCCTTGAGGTGTTCGGGGGTCCTTGAGGTGTTCGGGGGTCCTTGAGGTGTTCGGGGGTCCTTGAGGTGTTCGGGGGTCCTTGAGGTGTTCGGGGGTCCTTGAGGTGTTCGGGGGTCCTTGAGGTGTTCGGGGGTCCTTGAGGTGTTCGGGGGTCCTTGAGGTGTTCGGGGGTCCTGGAGGTGTTCGGGGGTCCTTGAGGTGTTCGGGGGTCCTGAGGTGTTCGGGGGTCCTTGAGGTGTTCGGGGGTCCTTGAGGTGTTCGGGGGTCCTTGAGGTGTTCGGGGGTCCTTGAGGTGTTCGGGGGTCCTTGAGGTGTTCGGGGGTCCTTGAGGTGTTCGGGGGTCCTTGAGGTGTTCGGGGGTCCTTGAGGTGTTCGGGGGTCTTGAGGTGTTCGGGGGTCCTTGAGGTGTTCGGGGGTCCTTGAGGTGTTCGGGGGTCCTTGAGGTGTTCGGGGGTCCTTGAGGTGTTCGGGGGTCCTTGAGGTGTTCGGGGGTCCTTGAGGTGTTCGGGGGTCCTTGAGGTGTTCGGGGGGTCTTGAGGTGTTCGGGGGGTCTTGAGGTGTTCGGGGGGTCTTGAGGTGTTCGGGGGGTCTTGAGGTGTTCGGGGGGTCTTGAGGTGTTCGGGGGGTCTTGAGGTGTTCGGGGGGTCTTGAGGTGTTCGGGGGGTCTTGAGGTGTTCGGGGGGTCTTGAGGTGTTCGGGGGGTCTTGAGGTGTTCGGGGGGTCTTGAGGTGTTCGGGGGGTCTTGAGGTGTTCGGGGGGTCTTGAGGTGTTCGGGGGGTCTTGAGGTGTTCGGGGGGTCTTGAGGTGTTCGGGGGTCTTGAAGTGTTCGGGGGTCTTGAAGTGTTCGGGGGGTCTTGAGGTGTTCGGGGGGGTCTTGAGGTGTTCGGGGGTCTTGAGGTGTTCGGGGGGGTCTTGAGGTGTTCGGGGGTCTTGAAGTGTTCGGGGGTCTTGAAGTGTTCGGGGGTCTTGAAGTGTTCGGGGGTCTTGAAGTGTTAACTACTTTTTGGGGAATATGAAATTGACTCGCGAGAAGGCGTGCAACAGGGTGACCCCCCTTGCTCCTCTCCTTTTCTGCTTAGTCATCAAACAAGTCAAAGAGGTCCTGTCCAGCGAGCTTAACATCTGGTTCTTGGATGATGGTACCCTTGGATGATGGTACCCTTGGATGATGGTACCCTTGGATGATGGTACCCTTGGATGAGGGAGCCGGTCGGCCGAGCGGACAGCACGCGGGACTTGTGATCCTGTGGTCCTGGGTTCGATCCCAGGCGCCGGCGAGAAACAATGGGCCAGAGTTTCTTTCCTCCTATGCCCCTGTTACCTAGCAGTAAAATAGGTACCTGGGTGTTAGTCAGCCGTCACGGGCTGCTTCCTGGGGGTGGAGGCCTGGTCGAGGACGGGACACTAAAGCCCCGAAATCATCTCAAGATAATCCTAGCTGGTTCCCAAGACTCCCTCCTGGAGGACATCAGAAAAATCCAGGAGCAAGGTGCAGTTTTAGGCCTCACACTGAACCCTTCTAAATGTGAAATAATATGTTCCAACCAGGGCATCGTAGAGAGAATAGAGGGTCTTCTGCCAAACATCTATATAACTAAACCTGAAGACAGCACACTCCTAGGAGCTCCCCTGGGGTTGAAAGCCATCGATGAGGTCCTTGATAAGAAAATTAGCCGACCTTAAGAGGATGGATAGGAGGATTGAGGATATTGATGCTCATGATGCACTTTTCCAGTGATGGATTCCAGTGCAGGTAACCCTCCCCAGGTTAACCTACTTTCTGCTACCATCCTACAGTAGCCAAACACTAGGTGAGTACACACTGGCGGGGTAAGAGACGTGGGGGGGGAAGAGAGAGACGTGGGGGGGCGGGGGGAAAGAGACGTGGGGGGGGGAAGAGACGTGGGGGGAAGAGACGTGGGGGGGAAGAGACGTGGGGGGGGGAAGAGACGTGGGGGGGGGAAGAGACGTGGGGGGGGGGAAGAGACGTGGGGGGGGGAAGAGACGTGGGGGGGGGAGAGACGGGGAAGAGACGTGGGGGGGGGGAGAGACGTGGCGGGGGAGAGAGACGTGGCGGGGGAGAGAGACGAGGCGGGGGAGAGAGACGAGGCGGGGGAGAGAGACGAGGCGGGGGAGAGAGACGAGGCGGGGGAGAGAGACGAGGCGGGGGGGAGAGACGAGGCGGGGGAGAGAGACGAGGCGGGGGAGGAGAGAGACGAGGCGGGGGAGAAGAGACGAGGCGGGGGAGAGAGACGAGGCGGGGGAGAGAGACGAGGCGGGGGAGGGAGGAGAGAGACGAGGCGGGGGAGAGAGACGAGGCGGGGGGGGAGAGAGACGAGGCGGGGGAGAGAGACGAGGCGGGGGAGAGAGACGAGGCGGGGGAGAGAGACGAGGCGGGGGAGAGAGACGAGGCGGGGGAGAGAGACGAGGCGGGGGAGAGAGAGACGAGGCGGGGGAGAGAGACGAGGCGGGGGAGAGAGACGAGGCGGGGGAGAGAGACGACGAGCGGGGGAGAGAGACGAGGCGGGGGAGAGAGACGAGGCGGGGGAGAGAGACGAGGCGGGGGAGAGAGACGAGGCGGGGGAGAGAGACGAGGCGGGGGGAGAGAGACGAGGCGGGGGAGAGAGAGACGAGGCGGGGGAGAGAGACGAGGCGGGGGAGAGAGACGAGGCGGGGGAGAGAGACGAGGCGGGGGGGGAGAGAGACGAGGCGGGGGAGAGAGACGAGGCGGGGGAGAGAGACGAGGCGGGGGAGAGAGACGAGGCGGGGGGAGAGAGACGAGGCGGGGGGGGGGAGAGAGACGAGGCGGGGGAGAGAGACGAGGCGGGGGAGAGAGAGACGAGGCGGGGGAGAGAGACGAGGCGGGGGGAGAGAGACGAGGCGGGGGGGAGAGAGACGAGGCGGGGGAGAGAGACGAGGCGGGGGAGAGAGACGAGGCGGGGGAGAGAGAGACGAGGCGGGGGAGAGAGACGAGGCGGGGGAGAGAGACGAGGCGGGGGAGAGAGACGAGGCGGGGGAGAGAGACGGGGGGGAGGCGGGGGAGAGAGACGAGGCGGGGGAGAGAGACGAGGCGGGGGAGAGAGACGAGGCGGGGGAGAGAGACGAGGCGGGGGAGAGAGACGAGGCGGGGGAGAGAGACGAGGCGGGGGAGAGAGACGAGGCGGGGGAGAGAGACGAGGCGGGGGAGAGAGACGAGGCGGGGGAGAGAGACGAGGCGGGGGGAGAGACGAGGGGGGGAGAGAGACGAGGCGGGGGAGAGAGACGAGGCGGGGGAGAGAGACGAGGCGGGGGAGAGAGACGAGGCGGGGGAGAGAGACGAGGCGGGGGAGAGAGAGACGTGGCGGGGGAGAGAGACGTGGCGGGGGAGAGGACGAGAGACGTGGCGGGGGGGGAGAGAGACGTGGCGGGGGAGAGAGACGTGGCGGGGGAGAGAGACGTGGCGGGGGAGAGAGACGTGGCGGGGGAGAGAGACGTGGCGGGGGGAGAGAGACGTGGCGGGGGAAAGAGACGTGGCGGGGGAAAGAGACGTGGCGGGGGAAAGAGACGTGGCGGGGGAAAGAGACGTGGCGGGGGAAAGAGACGTGGCGGGGGAAAGAGACGTGGCGGGGGAAAGAGACGTGGCGGGGGGAAAGAGACGTGGCGGGGGAAAGAGACGTGGCGGGGGAAAGAGACGTGGCGGGGGAAAGAGACGTGGCGGGGGAAAGAGACGTGGCGGGGGAAAGAGACGTGGCGGGGGAAAGAGACGTGGCGGGGGAAAGAGACGTGGCGGGGGAAAGAGACGTGGCGGGGGGGAAAGAGACGTGGCGGGGGAAAGAGACGTGGCGGGGGAAAGAGACGTGGCGGGGGAAAGAGACGTGGCGGGGGAAAGAGACGTGGCGGGGGAAAGAGACGTGGCGGGGGAAAGAGACGTGGCGGGGGAAAGAGACGTGGCGGGGGAAAGAGACGTGGCGGGGGAAAGAGACGTGGCGGGGGAAAGAGACGTGGCGGGGGAAAGAGACGTGGCGGGGGAAAGAGAGACGTGGCGGGGGAAAGAGACGTGGCGGGGGAAAGAGACGTGGCGGGGGGAAAGAGACGTGGCGGGGGAAAGAGACGTGGCGGGGGAAAGAGACGTGGCGGGGGAAAGAGACGTGGCGGGGGAAAGAGACGTGGCGGGGGGGGAAGAGACGTGGCGGGGAAAGAGACGTGGCGGGGGAAAGAGAAAGAGAGACGTGGCGGGGGAAAGAGACGTGGCGGGGGAAAGAGACGTGGCGGGGGAAAGAGACGTGGCGGGGGAAAGAGACGTGGCGGGGGAAAAGAGACGTGGCGGGGGAAAGAGACGTGGCGGGGGAAAGAGACGTGGCGGGGGGAAAGAGACGAGGCGGGGGGAAAGAGACGAGGGGGGGGGAAGAGACGAGGCGGGGGGAAAGAGACGAGGCGGGGGAAAGAGACGAGGCGGGGGAAAGAGACGAGGCGGGGGAAAGAGACGAGGCGGGGGAGAAGAGACGAGGCGGGGGAAAGAGACGAGGCGGGGGAAAGAGACGAGGCGGGGGGAAAGAGACGTGGCGGGGGAAAGAGACGAGGCGGGGGGAAAGAGACGAGGCGGGGGAAAGAGACGAGGCGGGGGAAAGAGACGAGGCGGGGGAAAGAGACGAGGCGGGGGAAAGAGACGAGGCGGGGGAAAGAGACGAGGCGGGGGAAAGAGACGAGGCGGGGGAAAGAGACGAGGCGGGGGAAAGAGACGAGGCGGGGGAAAGAGACGAGGCGGGGGAAAGAGACGAGGCGGGGGAAAGAGACGAGGCGGGGAAAGAGACGAGGCGGGGAAAAGAGACGAGGCGGGGGGGAAAGAGACGAGGCGGGGGAAAGAGACGTGGCGGGGGAAAGAGACGTGGCGGGGGAAAGAGACGAGGCGGGGGAAAGAGACGAGGCGGGGAAAGAGACGTGGCGGGGGAAAGAGACGTGACGGGGGAAAAGAGACGAGGCGGGGAAAGAGACGTGGCGGGGGGAAAGAGACGTGGCGGGGGAAAGAGACGTGGCGGGGGAAAATATTGGCGGGAAGAGAACATGAAGTGTGAGAGAAAACGTGCGGGCTGCCAGGTAGTGTAGGCCAGACTCTGCTATTCCTGTCAGGACCTGAGCGTTTATGGATTTTTTAGCTGTGTCGAGCAAGTTACTGCGGACAATATCAGTATGTCACCGCAGGCCGCTCCTCTCCCTCCCTGACCAACGCTCAATACCAACCATCACAGCCCAGTTAACCCATCTGTGTCTGAAACAATGCGTTAATATAATGGAATTATTAATGATTGAACCTCGATATAACTCTGACATGAACTGTATGTATATAAACTGCCTGCCTGTCCCCAGTGATGATAATTGTGATAATTCTCCCCCGTGAACCCCTTCAAGAGCTTCAAGCTCAACAAGCCACAGGGTACAAACAGATGGAACCGCCTACCCGCCCAAGCTGCAAATGCCATGACATTACTTCACTTTGATATCCAATTAAACAATATATCCTCAGGAACAGAAGGGGGGTCTATAGACAAGCCGCCTGCTTCCTATCCCCCATCGAGGTCACTAGAGACTTGGTGACCCTCAGGTAAATTCAGGTAATTCGTGTGTTGTTTGTGTTGTTGTTCCCAGTAACAGAATGTATAACAAGTTCCAAGTAGCACGGGCTATGGTGAGCCCGTAACTTACCTGGCACAGGAGCAGGGCAAGTAGCACGGGCTATGGTGAGCCCGTAACTTACCTGGCACTGGAGCGGGGCAAGTAGCACCGGCTATGGTGAGCCCGTAACTTACCTGGCACTGGAGCGGGGCAAGTAGCACGGGCTATGGTGAGCCCGTAACTTACCTGGCACAGGAGCGGGGCAAGTAGCACGGGCTATGGTGAGCCCGTAACTTACCTGGCACTGGAGCGGGGCAAGTAGCACCGGCTATGGTGAGCCCGTAACTTACCTGGTACAGGAGCGGGGCAAGTAGCACGGGCTATGGTGAGCCCGTAACTTACCTGGCACAGGAGCGGGGCAAGTAGCACGGGCTATGGTGAGCCCGTAACTTACCTGGCACAGGAGCTGTGCTGTATTCGTGTGTCAACTTCTCAGCTTTAACTCCAAGTAAATCATCACAGAAAACATTCATTTCAACACGTTTTTCCTTCATTTTGCTACAGTTCAATACAGGTAATGTCTGCGGTAAGAAAATTAAATATTTACATGAAATTCCCCACAAACTCACCAGCTTCTCTACTTGCATTTATTTTAGCATCCAAGCACTTGGGCTGGACGGTAGAGCGCCAGTCTCGCGTCATGCAGGTCCGGCGTTCTATCCCCGACCGTCCACAAGTGGTTGGGCACCATTCCTTCCCCCCGTCCCATCCCAAATCCTTATCCTGAGCCCTTCCTAGTGCGATATAGTTGTAATGGCTTGGCGCTTTCTCCTGATAGTTCTTTCCTTCTGAAAGCGCACAGTCGTGAAGGCATCAGTGGGTCCGTTGCAAGGTGTCAGCCGTCAGAAGCCCTGGGGGGGGGGGGGGGGTAGAAATAGCCTAAGCTACTCTATCCCTTTGAGATGTATTTATTGCTTATCTCAATAAACATACTTGAACTTGTCAGAAGCCAGTTGAAGACACCGTAAGGCCCACCAGGGGTCATCTTCCACACACACACTGTGATCCTGGACTTTGGTTTTAGTGCAAGTAATGCGCGAAATCCACTTTCGCGAGGAGGGTTGGCGCGAAAGGTTAGGAACAGAGGCATCACCACTTGCGTCACTCACGCCAAACCTGTCTCCTGAAGCCCACATCAAAAGAGTAACATTGGCGGTATATGCGAGGCTGGCTAACATCAGAACTGCCTTCAGGAACCTGTGTAACGAGTCATTCAGAAACTTGTACACCACATATGTGAGACCAATCCTGGAGTATGCGGCCCCAGCATGGAGCCCGTACCTTGTCAAGCACAAGACGAAGCTGGAAAAAGTTCAGAGGTATGCCACTAGACTATTCCCAGAACTAAGAGGCATGAGTTACCAGGAAAGGCGGAGGGAACTGCACCTCACGTCGCTGGAAAACGGAAGAGCTCGGGGAGACATGATCACCACATTAAAAAATCTCAGGGGAATTGACAGGGTAAACAAGGATGAATCACCCCTACAACACTGGTGGTACACGAACAAGGGGACACAGGTGGAAACTGAGTACCCACATGAGCCACAGAGACGTTAGAAGGAACTTTTTCAGTGTCAGAGTAGTTAACAGGTGGAATGCATTAGGAAGTAATGTGGTGGAGGCTGACTCCATACACAGTTTCAAGTGTAGATATGATAGAGCCCAGTAGGCTCAGGAACCTGTACACCAGTTGATTGAGAGTTGAGAGGCGGGACCAAAGAGCCAGAGCTCAACCCCCGCAAGCAAAACACGGTGAGTACTTACACGACTCCGTCATAGACCATCACCACAAGGTGGGCACAGTTAGACCGGAACATATTACTGACCAACAAATCCACACAGTCCCTGATGAGGGTTCGAACCAACGCACGGGACATCCCGTGTGTTAGTATGAACCCTCATCACGGCCCTTGTGGATTAGTTCATTTGATACATCAGGTTATTGTGACTTGTGTGTGTACATTACTGGCGCTTGACTTATGGACAGGACGAGTTGGTTCATCTTGTGGTGCGTCTTGTGAAGCCTTATCCACCTCACGTGAGACGGGTTGTGGCCTGCATGTTGAGGGCTCCAGTCAGGAAAATAACAGTCACCTTCTGTACTCACCTAGTTGTGCTTGCGGGGGTTGAGCTCTGGCTCTTTAGTCCCGCCTCTCAACCGTCAATCAACTGGTGTACAGGTTCCTGAGCCTACTGGGCTCTATCATATCTACACTTGAAACTGTGTATAGAGTCAGCCTCCACCACATCACTGCCTAATGCATTCCATCTGTTAACTACTCTGACACTGAAAAAATTCTAACGTCTCTGTGACTCATCTGGGTACTAAGTTTCCACCTGTGTCCGCTTGTTCGTGTCCCACCCGTGCTGAAGAGTGTGTCTTTGTCCACCCTGTCAATTTCCCTGAGAATTTTTGTCACAGTCTGTGTCACTGATCGATGACTTCCCTGGACCAGTTTACTGGAAGTTGGTCATCAGCAACAACTACAAAGAGGAAAACGTAATAACTACCCACACTTCCTCTTTGTGTAGTTCCAGTGTGGCCACACTGGCGGTTGGAACAAGTTAGGGGAGAAGGTGCTGGAGGCCAAGACCGTCAGTAGTTTCAAAGCGTTATATGACAAAGAGTGCTGGGAAGACGGGACACCACGAGCGTAGCTCTCATCCTGTAACTACTCTTAGGTAATTACATGCCTCTAGTGAATCCCTGCATTGTGGAACACTTTCCTTGGAGCCTCCAGTTTAGCTGCCAGAAGAGCTCTAATATGTCGGTAAGATATGCTAGGTGGAGGCTCCGTGTTTACTAGTTGTGTTTACTAGTTGTGTTTGCGGGGGTTGAGCTTTGCTCTTTCGGCCCGCCTCTCAACTGTCAATCAACTGTTTGCTAACTATTTTTTTTTTCCACACCACACACACACACACCCCAGGAAGCAGCCCGTGACAGCTGACTAACTCCCAGGTACCTATTTACTGCTAGGTAACAGGGGCACTTAGAGTGAAAGAAACTTTTGCCCATCCGTGTTCTAATGTGGATGTCTCCCACAGGTCACATTCTCCCCGCGCTTTCAGGAACTCTTCTACTTGCAGACGAAGTGTGAAGACGCAGGACAAGAACTTCCCGGCAGAGAACCACCTGACGGGTGTATAAAGCTGTAAAGGAAATATGTTCAGATTCCATGACATGATCATTTCTGGTGTTCAGGACAATTTTTTTTTCTCCATTGATCTTGATATTACCAGTGAAAATAGTGAGAAGCCCATAAGGAAGCCTGATCCTCCTGGTGAGTGAAGCAGAGCTACTGAGTCACGAGCTTTGGTTCATGTCCTCTCATTGGGTAAGCCAAACATCACTGGAGTTTCACCAGTGGTTATCTTGAGATGATTTCGGGGCTTTAGTGTCCCCGCGGCCCGGTCCTCGACCAGGCCTCCACCCCCCAGGAAGCAGCCCGTGACAGCTGACTAACACCCAGGTACCTATTTTACTGCTAGGTAACAGGGACATAGGGTGAAAGAAACTATGCCCATTGTTTCTCGCCGGCGCCCGGGATCGAACCCGGGACCACAGGATCACAAGTCCAGCGTGCTGTCCGCTCGGCCGACCGGCTCCCTTGACCCCAGCAAGATCAAAAAATACCATATTTGTCGAACAACGATAACGCAGCATACATCACATCAATGGCCGAGCTTAGCGTTATAAGATTGTAACATCAAAGAAGTTACCGGTTACTGCTGCCACTGACCAAGTATGGGCAGTAACCAGCAGCGGAGAGAACACTGCTGTATCAGTAGTCTGTTAGTTTCAGTCAATTACTTACATAATAAACAAAAGAGGGATGGGGGAGGAGGGGAACGATTATATTTTTCGACTAATTCGATGTTTCACATCACCTGAGGTCTCTGACACATTGTGTGGTGGGTGGTATTATTGGGAACAAGAGACATCACTTAGTGTCTGTGCCATGTCTCCTCCAAGATCCTGTGGAACCATTTCTTTGGCACCAAGTAGCATTAACTCTTAGACAATTGTGTGAGAGTTTTTCTCCCTGGCAGCCTAACGAGGTGGTTCGTCTGGTGCTTCACTGAGGCTCAATTCTGTCGTGCAAGATGCCGGTTGTATCAACTTCTTACTTCTTCAGGTCTACAACTTTCATTTTGAAGATCCCCTTTTACTTCCTAGTCTACATGCACCAGGTTAGTATACCAGGTGGGGTAGTATACCAGGTGGGTAGTATACCAGGTGGGGTAGTATACCAGGTGGGGTAGTATACCAGGTGGGGTAGTATACCAGGTGGGGTAGTATACCAGGTGGGTAAGTATACCAGGTGGGGTAGTATACCAGGTAGGTAGTTTACAAGGTGGGTAGTTTACAAGGTGGGTAGTTTACAAGGTGGGTAGTTTACAA